ACAGGCAGCATTTGTATCACGATTTTTCGCGAGAGCGTCTCAACGAGTGGCGAGGATCAGAAAACTGGAATCAACCCCCTCGAACGAGGACACAGCGCAGGGGGTTTTACGAGGTGAATACTCGAGGGACGATTCGGAAGGAACGTTTGTTGGAAGTGGAGTGGTCGTGTGGTATGGGGTTAGGTAGCACGAGAGGTGAAAATTATTCATAAACGTAGGCCGGCTTGCGACTCTCAGGGATGAGGAGAGGGGCTCTCTGATGGTGCCTCACACAACGAGACCGAAGCTGAAATCTACCGAATATTAAGGTAGGAAAGGTCCTCCCCAGACCGCATAATAAACACATAACGGTAATCCTTAAAACAATAATTAGCCGCGAGAGCCAACCAAGAGAGGCGACGATCTTCCGGCGGTGCAGGAAATAACGTTGGTTTCGTAGTCCGTTGCCGAATTAATACCATGATTCCGCGACACCACGACTTACCTACTCCGATCCAACTTTATACCGTTGAAACTGCACCTTCTTCCTATAACGATTATCCGGTATAACGTTCTAAGGACGGGTAAACTGTTATGGTGGTTCACTCCTACACTCCATTGCGGGAAACCATCGTTGATTTGTAGGGTGAATCGCTTAGTCGATCATAGCCGTAATTTGATTTTTTGATCATTTTCTTTATGGTATTCTCAGATATCTACTTTGCGTATATAATATCATTGTAAACTGATATACTTATGCAACTTGCATGATTTGTACATTATACTCCAGAAGAAAACAGTTTTTGTTCAAACCATTATACATAAGAGAACCGATGATACATTCATTGCAAGTACGTGTATGAGGGAGTATCAGCTGATGCAATAAAAAATATATGGTTCCATTTGAAAAAACATGAATGACCTTCATATGTCCTTTACACGTCCACCTACAAAAAAATATACCACCAGCATATGCCCCCCTCAAAACCATTCAACTTCATCTAAAACATTGTTTGCTATGAGTAATAATCATGACGCAAATTTAGATGACAAAATGTGGTGAACTACCCTGTATAAATGATCAATAAAATAAAGAAACTTTGTAGTGTTCATAATATTGAATTAATAATATACATCAAAAAATTAAAAAACAGAATTGAAAATTGAACTGTATATTTTTAATCATCCACAGCATAGTGTCTGACCATAAACTTAAATTTTCATTGTCACATTGAAAATGTGTGATGATGTGTTAGGCTTAATCCAATATATTAAATTCTACACATTCATGATTCTATGAACGTGATCCAAGCTTTTGACATCAAGATTCTACTACGTATACAGTGTGAATTAGTCAGTTTTGATTAATGTTAAATTTTGCATTAACTTGTGACTTTAAATTTGTAAAATTTGTCAAATAGATAAATATTGTAATATTAACATTTGAACTGCCATGTTATCATGTAGATGATTTTGAAATTTCCATACAAATATTAGTATTAAGAATTCATCTATTTACAAATACTCGTATTATCTAGTTAGAACTGCAAGTATTAAAATATTGGTAAGATTTATTCAAAATAAAACTATGTTCAAAATTCTCAACTGCTCCAGCAAAGTTTCGCCACACAATCTGATATCATGGTTTCGATGATAAAAATTGATGAGCAAAGTTAAGATTTAGTGTTATAGGAAAAGGTAACTTTAAGTGCTTGAGGTCGTAACGTAATTCGATACAATATTCAGCGTCCTCATCGACCAACAAATTCCAAGCTTCGAAGCGTGGAAAGCGAGTAACCGAGCTTTGGATTAAGCAAATGGCGGCAATAATAGTGATTATTCGGATTATGATATCAGAGAGCGAAGTGGGTTCGCTCGGACTTACCGGCAGTCGGTAACTGCTGCGCTACCAAATCCCGACTTCAAGACACCGGATTAAAACTATTACCACTTCGCGACGCCTTTAGCCTCACACCGTCTCACGTACCCCTTTCTCTTTCTCTGATATTCGTGGCTAGCTTCTTGCGCCCTTTTACGGAATTTAAGCATTTTAAACGCAGACAGGGATCTGAAATTTTCGGGGGGTCCGACTGACTTGTTGGTGTCAATACTAATGAGGTTGTTGAGGACGCTTCTAACAGAAAGGACGTATTTCAGTAATTTTTAGTAAATGCAAAAATATGGTGTATATGCAAAAATTTGGCGTTTATTAGGACTGACGTGTTTGTGTTTATTTTTTGTATTTGAGGTTTATATGTTTCTGGATTTTTGGAAATTGAAAATGTGCGACTTTGAGGATTTAGGACTTTGGGAATTCGAGAGTATTGGTCTGTGTTAACCCTTTCGCTTCGAACGCCGCTTATAAGCGGCGTGCACAATATGACTTGTGGGTAAGCGTTTCTGTTCAGTTACAGTACTTCGGCGGACTGGACAGCCGAAGCGAAAGGGTTAAATTTCCCAATTTCTGAATCTTCAGATTCTTGAGATAAAAGTAATGAATTTCAAACTTTAAAACTTCCAAATTCCCAACTCTCCAATTTCTCTAATTCCCAAACTCAACTTTCAAATTCTCAAATTACTAAATTTCCCAATTCCTGAATTAGTAACCATAAATATCCTAAATTTCCAATAATAAAACTCCCAAATTTCTACCCTTAAAATTCTTAAATTTCCCACACAGAAACTCCCAAATTTCCAACTCTCCAACTTCTCAAATTCCCAACTTTCTGATCCCTAAAATTCTCAAGTAGTCAAATTCTCAAATTACTAAATTTTTCAATTCTTAAATTTCTAACTTTAAAATTACTACATTTCAAACACCAAAACACCCAAATTTCCAATCCTAAAATTTCTAAATTTTCAACTTCAAAGCCCCTAAATTTCCAACCCCTCAACTTCCTTTTCCAAATTTCCAAACACCAAACGTTCCAGTCCCAAAATCTCAAACTACCCCATCTTCCCTAAACGTTAAAAGTTTCCCGAGCAATAACGCATAACCCCCATTTTTCCGTTGTTTAACCCAGTTGGAAAGAGACATTAAATCTCCTAGCTTTCTCTCTAACGGCCGCGACTCTCTTACAAATATATTCAAGTCCGGTTACCTTTCTTATAATTTCTCCTGATTCTGGTTGCTTTTGTCGGAAGCGCAAAGTAGAATCGCTTAAGTGAAATAACGAAAAAAGTTTAGCATAAACTGCCGCTCTTAATTTGACCAGTTTGTTCAGCTTGGAGCCCTTGGTTGCACGACGGGCTAAACGTTTCGTTCGTTTCCGGAAAAACTTCCGGAATTATGAATTAGCGGGAAAGTCGGCAGGAAGGTAATGCATTTATTCTGGGCTCGACTTACTATGAAATTATAATGCAAAGGACAAGTTGGAGTCTACCCTTTTACCTTGGCGAATTAAGTGGCATCGTTTGCTCGTCATCATGATTCAAACTAATTAGAATTTCACTTTTGCTTGGTGGAAGTTTCGTTCGAACACCGATTTAATTTCTCTTTCTGTTTTAAGTCTCTTAGACTGTGTTCACACTTTTTTTCTTATTGATAAATAGAGAAATGTGTGGCAATAACATCTCCTAATTTGTGAATGAGGACCACGATGTGATTGAAGACAATGAGTGTAATGTACAATCCAGACCAAGATGACGATTGTCCAAAATAGATGTGTCCACTCTCAGTTTATCTAGAATTATAAATATTCAAGATGAGGCTCCAGAGTACCTCAAATCCTAATGTTTAAGATGGAAGGTGGGACCAAAATCTGAATTGCATCCATGATCAGATGTCTTGACCATGCACCATGCACCTTTCTTAATCCTAATGAAACTATAGAAGAATATCTCCTAACATGTGAATGAGGACCACGATGTGACTGAAGACTCTGAGTACAAATATCCACACCTAGATAGCTGTCCAAAAAAGATGGTCCCACTTTCCATCTACCTCAAATTATAAAAATTCAAGAAGGGCCCATAGAACTCCACATCCACATTCTTAAGACGTATATGACAAACCGAATGACGTCCATGATCAGGTCCCGACCCTTATCCCGAAAAAAAGCCGTAGGAACATAAGGTATAATCTTTAACCACCTGGCTAATTGCGTGATGTTCTAATCACCAGAAAGATTAGACGCGAGGACAAGTAGATGCCGTGACAGAAAGTGAGGAGGATAATGTTACGCGAGGTAGTAGTCTCGGTGGCATGTGTCGTTGATGAGGCGGTTAGTATTCAGCGGTGCTTTCCTGGGCCTGGAACTTTTGAAAACTAACCGAGTAAAGCCACCTTAATTCCATAAGAGGGAGACCAAAGGGGTTCGGGCGTCATCGTAACACCCTCTTAATTACAGGATATTAGGACGCCCACAGGAGCCACGGAGGTGCAGGAAGCCAGATAGCGCGATTTATTATTCGCGGTCTACGTTATCTCGCTTTTTAGCAGCCGGATTTCTTAGCCTGTGAGCTACTGTCTCTACTTCCTCAGATTGATTTCCCTATTTTTAACTCCTTTTAATTCCCTGATTTTTGACCGCTATTTTCAGATTGATTCCCTAATTTTTTTTCTCAGATCTCTGTACTTTACATTGAGGAAATGTACTGAGGACCTGAGGAGGTTGACTTCGTGCTTTCTGTTTGATGCCTAACGATTTCGTTGCGACAATTTTGTCATTTACTGACATTTGTTGTGACAGTAAATTCTGATTGGTATATGAAACTGATAATTGAGCAACTCACAGTGAGAATTAACATAGACCCATACAAAATAGAGTATCATTTAAAAATGAAAAGTAACTTAAAACTCTTTCTACAAATCACAATAAAGTGATAGATATAAAAGAATGTGTTGTAAAGAGATGAATGAAGATTTGATATGTTTGGACATGGACATAAGTCTGATACTTTCAGATGATAGCGTTAGAACCTATCTGATGTTAGGTCTACCTTATTTTAGCACAGCAAACAGTGGTTATCAATTATAGAACTTGTACTTTATGGTATCAATTATATTTTGAGTTACTTACATGCAGAGAATTTCTTCTTTCCCGCCCTGGAAAGTGCCATCCTTACCCCACCGCTTAGGTAGCTCCATCAGAACTATCCCTAAGTTACCCCACAAAGCCAGTTGCGTTCCCGTCTCATTGATTAACAGATTTTTGATATCGAAGATTGGGGGATCGGTGAGTAGAAGTTTCTGGAACATAGAAATTAGTAGTGATTAGATAACAATGTTGTTTATCTAGAATCTCTTCTTAAATCTGAGCTATGATAAACTCTGCAAATTCTTATAAACATCTTTCGATTTTAGTATCAATTAAAAATTAATTAATACTGAAATAGCTGTGTAAAATCAAGAAGAAAATTGAATACGATCAAAATCAAAAAATATGAGTCACTCCAATATGATTAATAAAATATTTTAATGCTAGATTAATATATTTTAATCGCTTATCAATAAGTAAAATTGAAGAAATGTCATTTGAATTTACAATTTTAATTTTCGGACGTAACGAGATATCCTACAGCCCCTCGGATTCCACTTTTTCCACCCTCGTCGGGCATCGTCTATCGATTAATAAACTTTATAATACGATCCTGCTCCTCGTTTGTTTTCCAGTTTGATTTTTATCACGGCGGTCCGGGAAAAAGGCAGGTGCACGACGAGCCACCCCCTTTCCCCCTTTTTACCGCCCTTCTCTCAATGTCGGGATTTCTCTTTAACATCCCCCTTGCTACGGGTCTAACCCCTCTTTCGCCTCGATATTTAATTTCGAACTAAGTTCGCGAACGCGAACATCATTACAGGCGAGGCATCCCTAAGGTTTGGGGGTATCGGCGCGTATCAAGGAGCAATTATTTTTTTTGCCTGAGGGTAGGTTTTTTTACAAGGATGATCAACCTGCACCGATGGCAGGAAATGTTCCACCTTCTGAGACGATGTAAGCTTGAGAAAAAGGCTTGATAGTTTGGAATCATTTAAATGATAGCTTGAATCATTTAACACACTGATTTTGATCAGAAGATCATGTTTAGAATATGTGAAATTCAACTACTGACTGGAAACTAAAGAGCAAATTTTACAGATGGTTTTCTTAAGAATTGTAGCAAATATTAGCTTTATCGTTATTTTTTAATTGATACCACAACAAATTTTAATATATTTTGATGAAAGACTTTTGACAAATTCTGACTTTTTGAGGGGTTAATTTATGACTTGATTACGTTTTTAAGGAGTTAAATTATTATTTAGTTAAATTTTCACAGGGTTGAATTATTATTTCATTAATTTTTCAAGGGGTTGATTTATGACTTGATTCATTTTTTAAGGAGTTAAATTAATATTTTTGTTAATTTCTCAAGGGATGATATTAGTATTTCATTCATTTTTTAAGAAGTTAAATTATTGTTTGGTTAGTTTTTCACAGGGTTGAATTATTATTTCATTAATTTTTTAAGGAGTTGATTTATGACTTGATTAATATTTTAAGGAGTTAAATTAATATTTTGGTTAATTTTTCAAGGGGTAAAATTAGTATTTCATTCATTATTTAAGAAGTTAAATTATTATTTGCTTAATTTTTCACAGGGATTGAATTATTATTTCATTAATTTTAGAAGGGATTACATTATTATTTGATTAATATTTTAAGAGGTTAAATCACTATTTTATTAATTTTGGAAGGAGTTAAAATATTATTTCATTAATTTCTCAAGGCGTTAAATTCTCATCAAATTATTTTCTCAAGAAGCTAAATTATTATTCACTTTTCATTTTCATTATAGTCAACAGAATATAATAAAACAATTTTCTCATGTTAAATGCATTGTTATTAAAAAAATCTACTTTTCCATATATTAACCAACGTATTTAACCTACGACAGAGAAAATAAATAATCTTCTGTATTAAAATAAGGTAAGACTCCTTCTCCCTCCATTTCGCATCAACGCCGATAAACCTTCCCAATCAAATAATCACCCTGAAGGATCCTCTCCGAACGTATTCGCTTCTTAAAATGAAAAAGTGCGAAGCCAAACGCGCCCTAACATTAAGCAAGAATGGTCTAGTGCGTTTAAAAGTTTTCTTCTCATTAAGACTTATTCCCCAGGGATCTCGGCGGGCACACAACGCGGGCACAAAGAGTGGCGCTGTTCTCCTTCTCCTCTCTAGCAGTTAGAAACACATTTATTAACGGCAGCTCATCTCATCTCGCTGTTAAGTACCAGTAAGAGAGTGCTCTTCCACCCCCTTCCGTTATCCTCTCGCCAACAGTTCTCATTCACTTTGGTAGCTGTCCCGTCCAGGGGAGAAAGAAAAAAGACGTCACATCGTCGACGCCTTATTAATCCGCGTGCCGAGGAAAGAAGGTGTTCGTGGGAGGGTGGCCCTCTGCAGAAATTAAAAGAACAGAGGGTATAATGTGAACACATCCATTCCGTGACCCTCTTTTTCTATCGCGCTGTCCTCGTCCCTTCTTCGTTAGCCGACACGACACCATTAAACACGCTGTTTCACGCTTTCCCTAAACGTCACTCAGGCTGGACGTCGTCACGGTTTCTTCAAATCCGATGTACACGTTTATTTCCAATGTTCTTCCACGGGAATCTGGACCTTTCATGTTTAATTCCTCCGAGACTGCGCGGGAAGTTGCCACCAAATAAATAATGAATGTTCAGAAATACTGCAGACAATGGAAATAATTGATCGTTTGAATTTGTTTGAAACTAAGGATACAAGAGGTATCGAAGAATATTAAAATATTCATTTTAAGGTTTGCATCTTAGAACATTTTGGATGCACATAAAATTGAAAACGAAATTAAGTAATAAGTAAACAAACGATGAAACTTGAGTTAATAGACATATGTCATTTAAGATTATGTATGTATGTGAGATTAAAAGTATATCATACATGTGTATCATAATAACAAATTTTTTCTACAGACAAAAATGGTCGACCAATTTTTTTCAACAGACAAATTTGATAAAACGAGCAAAACTAAATAATCTTGAAAAATATTCGAGCTTAATGGCGAATTATCGATAAAACGCTGCAGTCCGATAAGGGCTAATCTTAACTGATATGAATTTAGTGTTACTTTACCTCCAAGTACTTCGATATTTTATTCTATGTCATTAAAATGTCTACATTTGAAAATGTGTCATATGTAGAAAACACCGATACGTAAAGTCTTAATATGAAAAAATATGTACTTAGCAAACATAAACCGACTTCAGTAATTTATGAAAATTGAATGTAATATGCGTTATTGTATAAATAATTATGATAAAATATATGCATATCTAAAAGTTTATCAATTCATGAGCATAAACGTATTCACAAATTTAGTTATTTATCGCCGCCGCTAGATGGTGCATGAGACTGACTTTCTCGCTAGTACTCAACGAGCTCTCCGACACAAACCGTCACAAACTTACAGCCTTATGTATTGTGCATGCTATTTTCTAATATACGCGTCCAAAAATTTATAAACATATGACCGAGTTAACAATTAATTTTTATTTAACTCTAACTTAATAATATTTAGCATTTAACTTAATAAATTAATGTTAACTAAATAACTTCCTTCGCTCAAAAAAATTACTTCTCGTAACGAAACTACTCGTTTCGTTGACTTAAAAATTTGAAAGAACATAGCCGGTAAACGAGAAAGTCGGTAAAACTTTTGTGTTCGATGGAACAAGAAACCGTGAGATTTTGGGTGGGATGAAAAAGGGAAATACGGCAATCCCGGGAAAAGCAAAGGCTCGGGTCGCAGCAAAGATGGCAAACGAGGACGTTAGCCGAATAATGCAAAACAAACCTCATTTGAGATATAGTCCAGCATTTGTCCATATTAAGGTGTGTTGTCGGCATGGCGGCGCTTTCATTTCGTGTGTATGCTGGTACGCTTTTGAAATTATATAGCGAGAGCATCAGTCGTCGTTAGTCAGTTTCCTGCCGCATTCCGGCGTTAACTATGTGTATCTTCAGCACCCGTTACGTAGCCATTTATCAGTGAGCTCCTCCATACGCGTTATTTTCCCGCGTTAAGATGCACAGTTCCGCGGGTAATATTTCAGTTGGCTATGGCGACACATCGTCCGCGAATTTGCTCGTCAACATCTCAACGTATCTTTGCGCTAACCAGATACATACGTTACGCGATTTGTCTCAAAAGTTTCTCCGTTGGGAAAACAAACGATAGGGTAATTGTACCTAATGCCACGCTCCAACGTCTTTACATAAGTACCAAATCTTTCATTGTAAAACTATAATGAATTGTTGTTATAAAAATCACATTTGATCTACAAATACATATATTCTATTACTGGATAATGTTGGAAGTTTCGGACACCATTTAAAATCGAGAACCACAATGCCACAACTGTAGGTACATTCTAAATATATTAAATTAAATAGCTGAAATTAGAAATAATATTGTTTGTTAATAACATTGTTCTATTTTGAGTAATTATAGGACCAAATTGATATTAAGTACTAAAATAAAAATATATGATTTTTAAAATTAAGAAAGTCCTCATTTTTCTGTAAAGAATAAGGTGACCATAGTGTCCACGCGTAGATTGATGTCGTTTAAACGGTGTGAACTGCAGTCTGAGTACAGTAACACGGCGTAACTTGTTGAAGACACCTGAAGGATTTGCGAATTTGAAAACCATGCCTAATTGAAATTCTTGGAGAGTAATGATCTAAGTAGTCAAGCGAAGCTGCTTGAACTTATCCAATTTGGTTCTCTCTCGTAGACGATCAACGTCGTAATCGGTGACCCGGTTCGTAGCTGCACAGCAGCAAAACTTGGACCCTTCTAGCGTTACCCTCCCCTTCCCATGATCGTCCTGCCATGGTTGTTGTCTTATTAGTTTAGAACTTAGGCTTAATATAAAGTTGCGTGTGTCGTCCATGATGGAAGTCGGGTCTGGAAGACAACGTCTCCAAGTTTCTCCGCTTGGAAGAATATACAATAGTTACTATTGCGTATTCTAAATTTTATCACACTGTCATTTTTGCTTTTTTATTTTCATGTTATTGCTAGTTAATTAATGTTCCTTTTACTTTGTTATATCGAGCTAGTAATTTTGTTCAAGTTTTGTCCTCTTGGATGTTAGCTAAGTCAGTGCTAAATGTTACTTGAATAATTATGCTTAGGGAAAAATATAATTTGTGGCGGTTT